GTCTGCAAGAAATGTTCGATGCTAGAGGAAATCCTCTTTAAATTTTCATGAGCTCACTGTGTGCTTTGGATGTTTTTCCAATTGGCTGTGTTTCTGTGGCGTTTTTTGCAGCAATAGAGGCATGATATGGCAATCCTTACCCAGGCAGAATTCCTCCTTGTCTGAGGCAGGCACAGGAGAATGGCAGAGAGGGGGAAGCTTTCTCTTTTTTAATTTGATGTTCTGTCAGTTTCTGTTCAAACTTCAGAATATTTCAGAGTAGATTCTTTGAACTGTCCCTTCTCTATCATTTATCTTCCCAGCAGAAGCAGTGTTTTAATTTGACACTGGGAGTTTTTTCTGTCTTTTTTTTTTTTTGGTGAGACTCTGCTGTGTTAATTTCCTCTCCCCTTTTCAATTTCTAGAGTAGTTTGTAATAAAAGGATGAAATAGGTTTTTAGCACAGGAGTTTGTTAAAATAAAAAGAAAACATTTTTGTTCATTTTTTGCTTATCTTGTGATTAAACCTTAGTACAAACATGCAATTCTTCAGTTAAAAAAAAAAAAGAAAGTAGTGTAAACATACTTTCTATATTATTTACCTTTGTAATAACACTTAACAGATATGACAAAGTTAAACTCTTCCTGCGAATGTGATTTAGAAGTTGATATTGCAGGCAGTGTTTAGACACTTCAGTAAGCCAGGCCACGTATATTTTCAGCCCACGGTCTGTTCCACCTCCTGGTTCTCATGCACTGTGTATTAGAGAGCTCCTGGGTTTGTGCCAGCTCCCGCCTGTGCTTTTGTGAGAAACCTGCCTGGTTTCAGCAGGGTGCTTCAGGTAGGTTGAGGTGAATCAAGTTTAAGCTACTTGTTTTCAGCATTCTGTAATATTTAAATTAAATGAGCAACTTTGCAGGAAAATAAGTAACACATGCAGATGAGGTTTTGTGTTCCTCATCCCCATTGGTTTATTAAATGTGACATGTTCTTCTGGGGTTTATGCCATGTGCGTCTTCTGTCACTCTGAACAACAACTTCTTCCCTTCTCATTATGAGAGTATTTCTTGCACTGCAGCCTCTACAGCAGGGTCAGCACCTCCTGGACATGCAGTGTTGTGTCAGCAAACTACCTCTCAAAGCACCTGTAACAGAATCAAGCTTTTGTGTGGCTTCACTGCCTTTTTTGTCCATGTTTTTTTCCCTGTAGTTACTTGAAACACATCACTCTCAAGATTAATCTTTCTAACATAGGAAACAAGAGCTATCTTGGGTCTGAATGGACCCAGATATCAGCATCCATCCTTTGAAGGTTGCTTATTAGCACATACTTATTTGTGGTCAGTCCCTTAAGGCTCAGTGTCAGAGAGGTGAACCATGAGTTTACAGAGGAATGAGAAATCTCTTGCTTTTGGAAGGCAGTGGCCAAACTGAGCGCCATTTGGGAGCTGCCATTAAAAAGCAGCCTGGTGGACTCCAGGCAGGTGACTGCGTCTTAAAAAGTGCCTCAAAAGCATTGCTCAACAGTGATCTTAGCAGTGCAGATGTGTATGGAAATTCAGACTGCAAAAAAGTGCTCAATTTTCACATCTGAGACATATTGCTGGATGTCATAACATTGCTGGCAAAACCGGGCGTTGGAAATCTTAGACTGTTGTATGATTTATGGGGTTACCTTCCCAGCAGAAAATCCCACAGCTCCATGTTGTGTTTCGTGCTTCTGGTTCTTGTCTTGGCACTGCTAGTAGAGGTAGCTGACATCCGTGAGCAGGGCTCTGGGTTTGGTGCCAGCTGGAAAAGCAGGGGAGTGTTCAGACTAAGAGAGTCTGGAGTCATTTAAGAACCAATGCCAAAGAAAGAGGGGAAAAAAACATAGAAGTGCTTCTAGATGCCACAGCACAGGGCTGTGTGCAGGAGCAGCTGACAGGAGCAGAGCCATGGGCCTGGCCAACATGCTGTGTCCCTGGTCAGCATCCTGTGCTGTGGCCAGGAAACCTGCTGCTGCTCTCACGGGTGAAGCATGGAGATATGTGTGGAGCCCTGGCTCCCTAGCTGCAGCTTTCACCTGCTTATACCTGCAGTAGACTGTGTACTGAGGCATTATTAGCAGTAATTCCTGTAAACAGTTACCAGGGACAGCATTTCAGGTGATCCTTACAGTAATAACTTTGTAAATATTACATAAATAAACATGCAAGAGGAAAAAAAGAAATGGATTTCCACATTGCTGTTGGATTATTTTTTTTGAAGATTGTATAAATTTTGTTCTCAGGATTGGCTCCTAAACCTTTGAAGAGCATCTATTGTAACAGACACAAAGGGAAAAAAAAAACAAACAACCAAACACCCACAAAACCAAAGCACATTGCTATCATTTTACTCCTGGATAGCAGTTACTTGCTTGTCCTACTGTTAACTATATGAATCCATCTCTGATTCTTTGAAGCAAACATTCTCACTTCCTCTTCACACTAACCTGTCTCTGTGATCTTTTACTGCAGAGCTGGGAAGCATATTTTTGGCCTGAACTGCTGAAACTTCAGACAGTTCTGCTGGGAACAGTTTCTGTCCTGAAGTGCAGAGGTACTGATCCCACCTGGTGTTAGCACACCAGGTAGACACTGTAGAGCCTCCAAAATCATGTATTGTCATGAGGCCAGGTTGTATTATTTCTTCCTAATGGTATTTCCTAGACAAATATCTGAGGGCAAATGCCAGGTGGTGACCTAAAGGCGTTATCTAAGCCTGGTCCCTGAGCCATGGGCTCTGACTTAGTTCTCAGGATACGTCACGGGACAAAAGCAGCTTATTTTGTCAAAAATGCCACTGTGCAAGAGGACAGGAACAGGTTAAATTCTGCTGCGTGATCTGTTTCTAATTGTTCTTTCTGAGATGAGAGCAGTGAGACTTTGATGTCAGCATCAAAGGAGAGGAGTGCTGCTCTACCTGCTCTGCAGTAAAGGGAAATTGACATCCTCTCGTTACTTCTCTTTCGAAAACAATCCAAAGACAACTGCACCACAAGATCCCGGGAATGGGTCCAGTAGTTGGAGGAAGATACGGTCAAACCTGCGTTACCAAATTGCGTGTAAAAACTCATGATTTTCAGGCTTGCTTTCTGTTTATTGCAGCTCTGACTCTCATAAATTGGGTTTTACACTTCAGAGATCTGTGCGTGTGAGTCAGACGCATTGGCTGAGGTGCACTGACCTCAGTGTGCAGCTCCCTGATGCTGCTGCAGAGGAAGTGCAAGTGCAGACCCACACTGGGGCTGTGGGCAAGCCCTGGGGCAATGGGGAGTGGCCAGCAGTGCCTGGCTGCGGGTCTGCGTGGCCATGAGATGCACGCTGGTCCTCTGGCTGGCCCCTTAGTGACTCTCTTTGCTGTTCAGACCGACTGCAGCTTTGTAGTTGGCGACTGAATATCTCCTTCTGCACAAGCTGACTACTTGCTGCATCGCAGAGAAGCCAGAGGGTGGATAGAAATTGTTATTGCTTTCCAGATAAGTGAAAATACCAAAGAGAAAGCATGAACATGATGCACGAACAACAAAGTAATACACAGTGAAAGGCAGAGGATACTATCTAAAGTAATTTAATGCTCAGGCATGTCTACTGGGCATCTTCTGTTGGAAAATAATTTTGCACTCTTACAAATGTTTCGGGCCTCTTTCTTTCTGCTTGTGAATCTGGTAATGGGTTTAGTTTTTCTTGTGTTCTTGTTTATGTTGAAGTAGGGGTGTAGGCATTTTTATTAAAGTAAGCCTTTCTTAATAGCTTTATTTAGCAATGGAGATGGCATAAGCAGCAAAATTTGGGTCTGAATTTCTCCAGGATTTGGAATTTTGTGTGTGATGTGTAGAAACGTCTCCTCCTTTGTATCTAATTAGAACAGTAAGACATCTTCATCTGTGGGGCTTGGCTTAGTGCTTCCATAATGTCTTCCACCAAAATCTTTGCAACTGACTGGTTGTGTTTTCGTACTTAGTGCATTTGACAGTAGGGCTGCTTTTTACAGTTGTGGCACTTTGGCAGAGCTTTCAGATGATGGTTTCTGTATTTTCAGAAATTAAGCAGTACTCTGCTTCATTTCTAATTGGCACCGCTTTCGTTCTGCCTGGTTTTCGTGATGGAAGTCCCAGGAGAGCGAGATTATTCTCAGGCATAATTTGCTATACAGCATGTTCTTTCCTACAGCAACAGATGTATGTGCTACCTTCTGCAATTTCACGGAATAAGCATTGAAACAATTTGTTTGCTTGCCTGAGCTTCTGAAGAGCTTTGGAAGGATTGTTAACGTCAAAGGAGAAAAGTAGTTTCAAGAGAAGAGGCTCAGGAAATGTGTCACATAATGGATGTTTCATCTGTGTTTGTCTTAATGGCCTGCTCTAGGAAGCTGCGTAGATGACGATGTCTCTTGAAACTTGTGAGTAGTCCTGTTGAAACTATCTGGCTGACTTCTTGCTCTCCCTTGTAAACTTCAACTGCAACACCAAGATGCTGAAAGCTGTACGATTTCAATCTGAATTTCTTGAAAGAGAACCTCAAGCACTGAACTGCTTGAATGGCTGTAACGCATAAAGTTACGCACAGGCTTAAGTACCTCTTGAAGTCAGCACTGCTCATGACTTGGTAATGTTTTTGATAACAGCTTGTACTGGGTACTATATTTACTACTTCATCCATTTCAAGGGAATTACTAATCAGAAAAGGCCTGGTTTCACATAGGATGAGTTTTGTTTGCCTGCTAACTCTTTCTCCTGAAATCACTTCATATTATTTACAGTATGTCTCACTGATGTAAAACAGCTGTTCTTTAATTTCTGGAACAAAACATCTCCTGAGCAACTGTCACTTAGCTTAATATAGATCTAGGGGACCTGATGTGAAGCAGTGATCCAATCTTTATGGTTTTGCTTGCAGAACAGAGCTCTTCCTGGGTTTTACCTTTGTTACTTTTTGTGGATGATATGTTGCAGGAGACCCCAGTAATGCTGTTGTTTTTCATTTATTTCTGACAGATGATTCAAGAGAGCAGGGTTCTTATTGAGACGGCAGACATCACTCACGACAAGATCGTTCAGTGTCAGAAAGCAGGTAATCCTTCTCTAATGTGCAGTTCTGGATGGGAGATGGGAAACAACATGATAGAATTTTCTTACAGTTTGTGACTGTGCATCATCTTTCACTTGATAGTTAAATGAGCATCCTGGTCTACCTTAGCAGGCTCTGTCCTCTGGAAGGCTCATCCTCCAGCAGCAGTAGAGGTGTAGGATCAGGGAAGAATGCTCAGCTTTCATCCCAAAAGCTATTTCTTCATTTGGTCTGCAGACCTGAAATGTCTGACAGCATTTAAATTAGTCAAGTGAACCAGAAAGAAATTCAATTAAAAAGAGAGTGAGAAGATGTGTTACCTTTATTTTCTGAGCTCTGTTCTCTGTCAAGTTGTTCCCTTGAACATGCAATAGGCAAGAGATTTGAAACTCACAGGACCAAGTTCTCTTGCCTATCTTTACTTAAATTGTGCCATTTAGGTTTGTTTTAGATCTTGGAAACGCGTACCAATATAATTCTGTTGTGCTCAACAAATCCATGTGGCCATGCATAAGGCACATCATGCATTAGGTGAGCACAAACCAGTGTAAGTGGGCTTAAAGCAGATCTTGTCTTCTTGTTATATTATACTAGGTGTCTCTATCTGAGCTGGGACTCTGTTTTGCATATATCAGTATAAGGGGGGGAGTTGGGTTCCAAAGTCGCCACCCATGTATGCTGTTTGCTCTGCCACAACAAGATCACGATCCTTTTCGAGGATGGTAGGAATTACCAAATGTCTGTGATTCACAGCTCAGCTTATTCATGCAACCCCTTCATCTCTTATTCAGGACAGTAAACCAGACTCCTAACTGGGACATGTTTCCTGTAGTTTACGATGATAACAAAAAGTAAGCTCTGCTACAGAGATAAGAGTCCACATTAGGCAGTGTTAAGATCTTAATCCTCTACAACTAAATCCATCAGCTTTCATGTATCAGAAGCCATGCTGAATAAATTCATGCAGTGAATTTATGGGTTTACACTGAGGAAATAAAATCTGCTTTCAGTCAATTTAGTTGCATAGCTGCACCTTTTATAACCTGCAGTGAGCCTCTAAGTTCAGTAATGCAAAAACATTAGCTACTGCATCTGATTCGTGGTCTCAGGCATAGTTTTCTAGGGCCACAACAATTCCAAGTACTGGTTTTTCCAGTAGTTATTTTTTGATTTGGCAAATGAAACAATCTACACCCATTTGCTTCTACTGAATGTAAATAATGAATGAAACTGGTGCTTTGTAGTAAATGCTTTAATTCATCTTTTTAAACCCATCTTTTTAATTGAAGGAAACTTGAAAACTGTTTCAGTAATCGTATTTAACTTATTTTTAAGTGTTACAAGAGCAAGGTGGAACCCAGTCTTTGTTCTTTGAAATTCAGAACTCTGAAGCAGTGGCCAGAGCTGTGATAGCAAATGGAGGAGAGGTGGTACATCTTCCTGAATTTGAAGGGCTTCATCTTGGTTGTGCCTTGGCTCCTGCTGTTATGAGATGTTAGAAGTAAAATTGCCTTCAGCATTATCCTTCACCAACCTCAGCTCAATCCTACTCCCTTAGCAAGTGCATTCCCAGCCTGGTTTGACCCAGGCTCCCTGTGCCACAGGACTCCAAATGACTTCTCAAGCTGCTGATTTGTTGTTCTATTTATTTATTTTTCGTGTGTGTTTGATGCTTCTTCACTGATGCTCCTTCCCGCAGCCCAACAGATATTAGCAGCTGCTTCTATGTGGGGCAGCACTGTCTCCAGTCATCAGCTGAGGAAGTAAGTTTTGGGTGAAAAATAACGTGCACTACATAAACTGGCAGTATTTTGCAGTCTTGTTTTCTGGGCCTTCAAATGGTTCAAGATGCTGAATGGGACTTCAGGCTAATCCTCATAGCAGAATACAGCTTGAAGTAAGTTGAAAGGCTGGTTAAGTATGGCTAGGTTGAGGTTGGACTTGATGATCTTGAAGGTCTTTTCCAACCTGAGCAATTCTATGATTCAGAGGCAGGGCTGTCTAAGTGAAACTGAGCACTGTAGACCTTTCTTAGTTCTTCAGTGGACAAAGCAAGTCACCTGTCTATTTTCTTTCTCTTATTCAAGTGATTTGTAACTCTGTTGGTGTGAGGCAGCTTACAGGGGAATCTTGCTTAAGGTACAATTATCTAAACTGTTTTCCAAAGGAAGCATTGCAGGAGCTTTGTTATCTTTTTGTAACACAAGGAAAACTAGTGAGTGAGTGACATTCTGGACAATAAACTGTAGATAAACCTTGCATTGTGCGAGGTTGAACTCCCTCAGTATTTCTCAAGTTGTGGCGCAGCCGCCTCCGGATTCAGTGCAGGGCAAGAGGAATTCTGTTGCCAGTTTTCCAGAAGAGCTTTGGGCAGGTTGATGCTGATTACAAGCCTGCCTCAGGGCATCAGGGTCTCTCTCGTTCAGCAACCTTGATAAAACAACTGCTCTGTTCAGGTGCTCTTTGTCAGGTGTCAGTGAGGGTTTCTTTGATGTAATTTCAACAAAGCTTAAACTTGTGAGTGATGTTTGCCTTAAAACACTAGGGGAGGGAGAGCTATGAAACTGGAGATTGAACTGGAGATCCACCTCGCTTTCTTCAGCCAGAATGGGCTTCAGATGTTTTGGAGTGATTTAGTGCCAATTAGGCCTTCGTAAAGTAAAAATTAATGGAACACAAGGAGCTCTTTCTCCTTTTTCTCTTCATTCTCAGTAACCTCAGAGGAATGTTTGCAAACACTGTGCAAATCTCATAGAATTGGTGAGCTAGTTGGACTCAAAGGTTTTTAATCTACTCCTGGATTTCTGCAGTTCTAGTATCCAGCAATGAAATGTCACAGTGGCCAGGGCTATGGTTGGAAGTCTCCATTCAACAGGCTGCAGGAGCAGCAATCCTACCATTGGCGGTGTATATTCATGAAATTGTCATTGTGGAGTACAATGGTTTTTCTTTATGACTGTGATTAAGATTAATAAGAAGCTGTGCACGTGAGCCTGTCTTTCTGTGTTGCACAGGTATCTTCCACATTTGCCAGATTGCCTCCCAGGGCACAATCATCCATTGAAGGAGAGGGACAAACAATCACCTTTTATCACAGTATTTCAGCAATGCAGACTGCAAGCAGAAGCACTGGAGGAGTGTTTAAATGGGAACAAGGGGTGTGCAAGGTTGTATGTAACACTGCTGTTCTGGAAGGTTCTCTCCAGGCATGGTGTTCCGATGGGGAAGAAAGGGGGAACATGGAAACAGGATGTAGGAAGTGCCAGCTGTGAGGAGAAAAATGCTGTCATACAGAGGATGATGCAATGATCTGGTGGTTTTTTTTTAGGGATGGAATTCCATGAAGAGCTTCATAACCTCGGGACAAAGGAAGGTTTGAAAGGAAGAAAATTAAGCAAAGCCATTGAAAGCTTTGCATGGAATATCACAGTGCTGAAGGTAAGCACATAAAACACTGCCTTGTGCCTCCTGTTAACAGATCTTTGGTCTTTTTAGCTTGTCACTCCCAATTACTGAGCATTTTGTATATATTTAATCACAACGGTGGTTTGGAAGTTGTGAAGGGGGATTTATGTAAGCCTTTACAAAGGAGAAAAGATAGCTCAAGAGTTTGTGTGCTCACAGACCCTGTTTCATTTCCCTGTTCTGCCTTCACACACCCTGTATGTGACCTGGCGCTGGGTTTTACACACTTCATTTGTAATATGAGGACAAGAGTGTCTCTTGGGAAAGGTGGGCAATGGGGTAGGCTGTGATGGAAAAAAACACACAACAAGTACTGTAGATCCTGCAGATGTCAGAGATGAGTTTCAAAAGTGGGGCACCATCTGAGTGGCAAAAAGAGCCTCCATTCTGGCTGCATATTGCCATGCTGTGCAGTGAGCACTTTGCTCTCCAGGCTTTAGTGACAGTTCCAGCTGCCATGGCAATTTACAGCTGCCAGTGTTGAACATCTGGGCCTGGGTGAAGTTGCCCCAGGACAGATGGAAAGAGGAGAGGATCTGGTGTAGCTCCATCAAAGGCAACGAGAGGAACCCAGCCAAGCATTCAGATTGTTAGCATTCAGCTCACACCTTGCTTCACAGCCTCATTTCCCACCTTGCTCTGCTAGATCACACTTTGTTCACTCATGTCCCCTTGCTCCCTCCCTGCCACTCGCTCCCTCCGGCTCCCAGTAGGTGGGTTGCCCTGTCTCTAGCCCCCTAGCACCTTTCAGAGGGAATCGCTATGACTTTACCAATCAAACAGACATTGAAACATGATGTGCAACAGCAGCAGCAAGAGCAGCAGGAGGTGGCAGGCCTCTGCTTCTTTGAGATAGAAAGAGCACTAACAAAAAGGAATTGGGAATAGAGATGCTGAGGGACAAAAATGGGTGGGAGAGGGTCGTGGTATGAAGGAAAAGTTAGAAGATTTGAGGGACACCTGTGGTTAATGTGTATGTTGATTAACTGTGAGAGAGGGAGGAAAAAGGGCAACGGAGTCAGCATAGGTACAGTTAATAGAACCTCTGATGAAGAGAAAAGGCAGTCAGTTCAAACATGATGGAAGGGACTGACCTTTTCCACACAGTATAATTAAGGTGAGTAGCTACAGAGAACAAAAAAAAGCGCTAGGCAATTGTGTACATCATTCTGAATGCCTTTAGCTGTCTTAGGTAAAATAAATCCCTCGCATTGAGTCACTGTTCCCACAGCCAGGGCTACTCTAAACTTATGCATTTTTAGATGCTTGTCAATTTAGAAGTTCAGATCTCTCAGATGATCTGTGATTAATGAAGATATGAGTCGGGTATCAGGGAAGCATTTCCCATGAAAATTATTTGCTGCCTACTACATACTGTCATGTATCAAAGAACATTATGAACATTTAGTCAAGGTAAAAGAATAAATTGTACATAGTTTTTAAGCCACAGCCTCTTGGGTTTGTTTACTTACACATTAAGGTGCCAACCATGTTGGTTGCAGCTACTGTCGATAGAAGAGTGCATGAAACACCTTTTCATTCTGACTGAATTTTGATTCAGCAGTGCCACGAGGCAAAGATGAACATGTTTGTACCTCAGATGTTTGATAAAAAGCAGTTGGTGATTGTTCCTTTTCTTTTTTTTTTAAAACTTCTTTGGTTCTATTAAAAAATACTGTATTTCAGTAACCCTGCCCCTAACAAACCTAATTGCTGGTTACAGCTGCATCTTGTGTTTGGCACTTACTCTCCGCGGTGTGCTGGTGAGAGCTCTCAGGGGAGGTGTTGATGAGGAGAGACCAGCAAACCTTTCCGCAGTAAAGCAGGGTGTTGTCTGCATGCCCATTCTCAGGGTGGTCACTACGAATGCATTTCACTAGCTGTTGGCATAGAGGTAAGAAAAGAAAAACAGCCTGCAGTATCTAGCAAATGCATCAGATGAATCATCACTGGGCGAGGTGAGAGAAAGGCAAAACGTCTCTGGGAGGAAGCTTCTTCACGTGCTCAGGGTTGTTGGAGACAGTTATGTTACGCAGCAGTAGTCTGCTTTTCCTGCATGTTTGTGCCCATGAGCAGTAATAGCTGTTGTGCTTGCATGCTCACCAAATGATTAATAGTCTTCCTAGGCTAGTGAAGGAAACGCACATTTAATTAATGTGTTATTTATAAATATTCATTGCAGTAGGTGAGCTTTGAATTCAAAGAGGGGATGCAGTAAAAGAAAATGCTCCAGGCCAAATCATGAAATAGTAACGGAGTGTAAAATAAAATTACTTTTTACAAAAATCACAACTGCAAGCATTCTTCATGTTTCAAAATACCCGGGTTATTTTTTGGGAGGTATGTAATGAGGGCGAGTCAAAACAATGTTATTTTCTTCTTTAGTTTATATAAACATGATTATGGATTAGAAACACCCATCATCAGAAGGACAAGCTATTTACCAGAACATAGAGATTATTGGAGATATTGCTAAGAACAGGGACATTACAACTCTATGCCTATCTAATAAGTCAGTTCCTGATGTTTATTAATAAAATGTTATGTCTTTCTATTTGGACCCATGGTGTGTAAAGTAGCATTACACACGCAGTTGGTAATATTGAGAAGCACAGTGTAATTACAGTAGGTAGAAAAGTCATTTTCTCACAGCATAATTAGTCATTATAATCTCAAATGTAGCCTCGCTTTCATTTTTATTTCTGTGCACCTCTATTTCTGTTTTTCTTTTGTACTTAAGTACCACTAAAGTGCAGAGGTAGCAAGAAAGTTCTGTTTATCACCTCATGTGAGCTGTGGTATTACCCAATGACCCTGCCAAACTGCTCAGCTTGGAGGAGAGAAGGGGGGGAAATGTACTTGGGGGGGAAATGTACTTGGGGGGCAGAATGGTGAGGCCAGTGAGACAGTGGAGACAGGACAAGGGGAAACGGCCGGAAACTGCAGCATAGGAAGTTCCGCACAAATGTGCGCAAGAACTTCTTTACAGTGAGGTGACGGAGCACTGGAACAGGCTGCCCAGGGAGGTGGTGGAGTCTCCTTCTCTGGAGATGTTCAAGACCTGCCTGGATGCCTACCTGTGCGACCTGCTGTAGGGAACCTGCTTTGGCAGGGGGGTTGGACTCAATGATCTCTGGTGGTCCCTTCCAACCCCTACAATTCTGTGATTCTGTGAAATGTAGCCTTCAAAACTACTCCCTTGCTGAGGTGAATGTGCCATGGAGGTATTTGCTTAGGCATGGAAACTGGGATCCACCAGAGTGCCCAAGTCCACGAGATTTGTGTGTGTTGTGTGTGTTCAGATTTAGTGCTCTCACATGGATGTGTTATGTGTGCAAATGTGTTTTCCTGGGCGTTCATGATCAGCACGTACACAGTCCAGCAATAATGTCCCCAAATACCTGCCTTTGTGTTGATGGTAACTGTCTGATTAGTCAACTTATCTGCATGCAGACTGATTTATAGACAAGCCATGAGAAGACAAAGTGGCATTTACTGTTTTGATCCAAAAAAAAGAGGAGAAAAACAAATGTTTGAGTTTGATCTCTGCTCTGGAATGTGTTCATGTTTTATAAATATTTTGCTGTCTGTGATAGGGTTTTGCTCCTAGTGCTGTAATTGTATTCTTATTAGCGTGTATTATTAGGACCTGACTACAAGACATCAAGTGGTTAAATTTTCAGGGATCATTTAACCACCTGTCCATCAGTTCATCTCCAAGTTATCTTGCACTTATTACTGTGTAAATTACTGCTGATTAGATTTATAAAGAGAAAGGTTGCTTTGTGCAGAAGGCATGCAGTTATTAAATTGCTAATGCAAGTCACTCTTTGAGGGAGAAATCCTCAAATTTATGATGTAGTCATCACCAATACATTGGCTCAGATGTAGCAGTGTTACGCAGTGAAACTACACAAGTTCCAGTTCTAGACCACCGTTTCCACTAATGCTTCTTTATCACAGTTATTTGTTACAATGGAGTAATCAGCCCTTGGTAACTGGAGACCTGCAGCATCCAGACATCTCATTTGGGTGGCAGAACCCCAAGTGGGCACCTCAAGGCTTCTTGGACAAGTAAAAGACAGATTTCTGAAATATGTACATGCAAACAGATGAATTCTCACCAGGCTTTGCTTCAACTGAACTGAACTTCACATCTATAACGAGGTATCAATTTTCTTTAGGAAGACAAGCAATGTACCTGACAGTGATTATAAGTTGAGGATCCTTACAATGGTACCACGCGAAGAGCTGCTGCTGAATCCTTTGGAAGAACAAGGTCCTTTCACATGGTTATTGTATCACAGTATGGCACTGTTTTTAGTGTGAGTTGTACAGTACTCTGGAACCATCTAGTAATTAAGATGTGCTTGTTTTCACACAGGTCTTTTTTCCTATAGTTAGGTAGGAACTATGGCTTTGCTGCTCGTCATGCTGCAGAAGACCCCGGAGCAGCGCAGCATTTTCAAGAAGACATGACTGTAGCAATGTATTCTACCTCTTGCCATGCAACTGTTGCCAGAAGATTTGTGTGAGAGTTTATGCTCTGTTGGTCTTAAGCTAGAACATAGTGAACTCACAAGTACCTGCAAAGCTACTGCGTTCCATGCACCGTGTATTTTTTTCTTTCCCCCTGTAAGTCAGTCATGCCTTTGCCTCTTCCCAAAGTATCCTCATATCTGCTGTCCTTGCTCTTCCCAGCACTTCTCTGGGAACCTGAGAACCTTGGTACTCAGTCTGCAAAACGGCAAAAATAGATGCAGTGCGTACTGTAGTGGCTCAGCAACAAATTCTTCTGATTTGCTGTCGCCTTGTGACAGTGATAGTCCTGCACGAGCAGTGTGGCAGGAGTGGTCTGTGTGGTATGGAGCGTTCACACCTCCCTTCAGATGCAGGGCTGGGTATATTGTGCCATGTTTACTCATCTACAGATCTCCCTAGATCAATATGTTTTGAAAGTGGTTACTCAGAAG